ATATATATACGTATACATATACATATACATATACGTGTATATTGTATGTATGTATTTATATATATATATATATATATATACTGGTATTACTATGAAGTTCATGTGTGACTATATATGGTACTACTTATTCACCACACTTCCAGCAATATATAGTATTTCTAATTCAAAACTCATATTCGATGACAATGCTTAGCATGTCCCTTATCAAGTCGCAAAATTTCTCAGTCCTCACACGGGCAACAGGCTGGTACCGTACAAACGTACCATTTCTGCAGTCAGAAAGCACTGACATTTCCTCAGGTGTTAACTGGTCGAATGAAAACTTGAGTACAGCATTTGGGTCACCCTGTGCAGCATTGTCTGGGGAGGTGTGTGAGACGGGAGAAGTATCCCTATCCATGGTGCTATATGAATGATGTGATTGCTACGAGATGGGTGGGGTAGTGAGTGATTATTTGTGGTGCGAGTATTGTACTTGATGGTAAAGTGATTGTTTGTGGTGCAAGTATTGTACTTGATGGTAAAAGAGTGTTATAGTCTACACTTGAAACCCCTTTCTATGCACATGTGAAGATGGATTACTTTGTTTGGTGTTAAAGCGCGGAAGGAATTTATATGGATGTATTTAATTTTGCAAAGTTCCGTCTCCAGATTGTTACGTATGTATATAAACTTGTGCGTCATCAGATTTCGCCGTCAGTTCATTTACGATAGTGTGATTGGCGGTTCTTTACATAAAGCGATTTCATTCGCGCTTAATAAAGTTTCACTAAAAACGGAATATATAAGAGATATCATTGGCCACTTTGTGTATCAATCACATTTCTCTCTTTACAGCATCATCAATAAAAGAACAACCACACCATGTGAAATAGACTTGTGAGAAGTTGTGGTGTATGTGCCAGTATTTACGACTGTACATATTTACACCAGTGTACAGCCGTGCATACACTGATAATTTTTAGTCATATACATGAACAACAGGTATGCATGTATGATCGCATACGAGGTCAACATCTTCACACACACAATCACACGCGTCTAGATTATTTACAATGAAGCTGTTTAATGACGGATCGCTCGACCTCGCTGGCGAGCAACTCACACTGCATTGTGGTGCATGCTCGTCGATGTTTCTCATCTGCACATGCCATGATCACGGACAAGGTGTTAACTTCGTATTCCGTGGACTACCCAAATCCGTGCCAGGATCCACGCCAAGACAGGTATGTGTATTGGGTGTTGCAGTGTATTGCTTCACATTAGCTCTGAAGACCTCGAGTGGTTTTGTTTGCCGTCATGGACGTGTCACGATCGCGGATAAGGGGTCGATTAATGCGTACACAGATACTATGGTTACACACTTAGCGCATATGTCGTATTATGCACCTACCTGAGCACGCCCCCACAATATCACATTCGGATGCAGATGTCGAGGAATGTGTGTGTTCATACGATAGCTATTGGAGGCAAAACATGTCGCATCTAGGTCTAATCTAACTAGCATTACGATCTATATAGAAGTGCCTTTTACGGACCAGCTACGGTAGTATGCGGTTGTCATCGCAGCAATGGCACAGTGGTCTAGTTTGCTTAAGCATATGTGTTTGTATCACAGATACGTAGATGTCTGTCTATGTCATACGTCTATATAAGTACATAAATACTCTGTAATAAGTAATTAAGCACCTGCGTCTGTATCTGTGTCCATGAGAAGTTCCTCTGTCATAAGCATACGATTCAACTTAAATGCCCTTGCAACGTGTGCACATTTTAACTGTTACATTCCCGTACATTCAAAGGTCAAGCACGATCCCATTATATGAGTTCATATTCACAGCATATGCATGTGTGTTTTTTCGCCGTCCCGCGATGTTGTTAACATGATATAATTAACTTGATTCGAATACAGAAAAGACAGGTTTTTGTTGTTGTTCTCATCGTATGATAATATATATATATATATATATATATACTTAGATATCTTGCGAATCTTCACACACGTCAAGTGCATTTGTGCAAGACAGGTGTGTAGTTAATACGGCGTGTATCCGTGGTCTGTTGTCAGTTTAGATCTCTTGTACGTAGTACATAATTACAATACACCCAGTGCTTGGACTTAGTTACATTCTGTAAGTATACACTGGCTTCTTATCCATCAATAAGTACTGTTTGGGTCCATCAATACCACATACGTTCTAGTCAACTCAAAATACTCACACTTTCGCATTGGTCTATAGTTGCTGAACCGGTGGATGTCACTCACACGCCATCTGAAAATCTTAGAGAGGTTTAACGCTCAACAGTACCTCAGCGACGCAGGAGACACGCTCACACAAACACTGCATAGAAGTGGTCACAAACTCATCAGCATGGCCGAAGACCTCTGCAAACAGGACGATATGAACCTGGTCCTAATCAAACTGGTGCAGAGCTACCAGTTGCCCATGTCGCAAAATGCCACAGATGCCGTGCGTAAGGAGATCATGGCGGCTGCACGAGCCTTTGTGTCGGGTGACTGGGCCTGTGTGACGTGGCTTGGGTCAATATCCCTAAACAACGCCTTTCAGGTCAGTTTCAGAGGTGTGCTGTGGCTGGATTGTCTGCCCTGTGTCTCGTGTTTGGGTGCATATGCACCTCTACTGTAAGCGTACTGTGGTTCTGAATGGTCCCTCTCACTTGGATCGTATGACCTAAAGGTAGCTACAATGAACCTTTCCTTCGACTGCGTGTGCCTGGGCTTGTTAGAAGTGTGGGGGGGTGTGGTCGCGTCCTCATTGTCAACGTGTCTGCTGTGCTATAGTCCAGTTATTTGTATACTGGACAACATTGGCTTATAACATTAGTGGTCGTTTGTATTATCATCTCTTATGTCACTCGTTACTAGTCTGCTTGCTTTCAGAGGGTTATGTCTACCTACCACAGCACAGTCACGTCTGTTCGATGAGCCATTGTGCCTCTCAAGTGATATGCGCCCAGCAACTTACTATAGTTAGTAAACCCTCACATCCGTATTTAGCGTAAAGGGTTCTAGGGTTTAGGGTCTTGTCTTCTACTCGTCGGACTTCGCTTCTATACCTTTCTATGTAATCTATTAGGTGTTCTTTATCATCCTGTATAATTTAATAGGAGTTCTTTTATCATGGTATATATTGTATTAGGTGATCTTCATAACCCTATAAATTGTAAATGGTGTTCTGTCTCATCCTGCATAATTTAATAGGTGTTCGTTTGTCATAGTTTATATTGTTATAGTTGTTCGTTATAATCCTATATATTCTAATGTGTTCTTTCTTATCCTGTATTCTTTAATACGTGTTCTCTTATATCATTGCATATATTAAAATAAGTGTTATTTTTAATCCTATATATTCCAGTATGTGTTCTTTCTCATCCTGTATATTCTATTAAGTATTCTTCATCATTCCGTATAATCAAACAGGTGTCTGACCCAGAGAAGTACTCGCTCGCAGACAAAGATCTGGGTGTGATTTTCGATGGCATCACAGTCCTATTATCCACTCACGAGGTGCAGTTCAGGTCGCCCTATAAGTTCCTCTGCATGGAGCCAGAAAGGTCCGAGAGTGACATCACGAGACAGTTTTGGGCCACACACACAGTGCCTGATGGCGAGGCGAAGCTCAAAGTATAATACGCAATACGTTATGTGAGTTGAACCATAGCCTCTCCTACATTGAACGCGGTTAAGTTTGGGTTGAAGAGGCTATGGTTTGTTGCGTTAAGTTTTTGTCGCTGGATTGGGCTTGAACGTATCGTTCAGAGAGTAGCACTGAGTTCGCAGGATGAGATCATTGACCAGTGCACCTCATTCACCCAACGGGTATTTTGGGTTTAGGGTTTGTAGCAGCGGTGCAGATAACACCGAACTGGAAGTCGCAATCCGTTTCAACGTATTGTCTGTACGCACAACAACAGCATTTGACCGGCCTCATAGGCAGCCAATGAGCGCACGAGTAAAACATGACATAGCACAGGCGATCGGAGTGGCCCGAATTATGCATTGCAAAGCAATACACATGTATTCTTCGGCGCCATTACTCGCCTAAGCTGAGCCATGTGGCGAAAGTAGTCTTTCGAGAGATGGAAGATAGTAGCACGTTAAGTTTGCCGCGATGTGCGTGTTAGCATGCAGTATTTGACTCGTATGCAGAGTAGTGCTGCATCGATCGGTTGTCGCTTCAATCGAGACAACAACAGGAGAAGAATGGAGCCCACCCAGGGGAATAGAATAATAAGAACCCCTAGTTGGTATATTTGCGGGATGGTTCTCGGTTTGCTTTAAAGATATTTTTGAGCTGCTATGTGACAGGTTTTAGATAGGTGGCCTCGACTAATCGAAGGCTAGTTGTTTGACAGAAACAGACATACATATTAAACCCGCATTTCACCCGTATATAAATACCG